CTCGCCTCCTTTTTCAGTTACTCATTCTGGCTGGTGAAGGGCATATCTGGGAAAGTTTGCCCCTTCCCCTGTCTTTTCCTATTCTAACTCTGTTATTCCAAAGCACAAAGGAATGTGCTAATGGAAAGAATTGTCATTTGGGGGACAAAAAAAATGCATTTGCATTTCCTTATGATTCTCTTTGTTTCCATCCTATAAAGGATAACAAAGTCACCCACTTTCTGATCCAGAACCCAACTTGTTTTCCCAGGTTCCCTCCTACAACCGACACAAACACAGACATTTACCAGCAAAACAGAAGCTGTTGGAAAGATTTTTTTTGGCTGCTGAAATGGGCTCCTGTCACCAGGACATGGCAGGCTTTTTGTTGTATTGTCTCCTAGCCCCGGCCGCTGTACTCCAAAGGGAGCTTTATGTAATCAGTCCTCCCTGACGTGTGATGTCCTGTCATTTTCCTCCCCTTCGGCTCTGCAGCCGCCCACAAATCAATAGCATTGCCTGGGAAGTTTCAGCTGGTTTTGCAGCCACCCTGAGCTCTGTGTTTCTTAAAGGGTATGTCAGTAAATGTAAAGTTTCCTAATGATATTTCTGGCTGATGGCACATGGCAGAGCTGATGGACTATTTATAATCAGTGGCACGATCGCAAACACATTATTTTTATTTCACTTAGGGGGGGAGCCCTGTCACTTGCCACCTCTCTTTGCAGACAAGCGGATGCCGTCTCCACCCAAAGAAGCTAAATTCTCTTAGAAGAATGTGCCTGCACACACCCCCTTTGAGTTAGGAGCTCCTCAGTCCTTTCCAATAGAACCCACCCCTCTTTTATGATTATTGGGCTGGGGGAATGATGGAGGCAATGAATTATTTGCAGCGACTGCTTAAAATTCTGGCCATGACTTCACTATAATGTCTCCTCCAGTCTTTGCTGCTCAGCTCCTGCTGCATTCCTCTGGGTGTGGGTGTGGCTGGCATGACTGAGGCAGCAGACACAGCTCCTACATCCAGCACTTGCCCCAGTTTTACAGGACTAAGCAGAGCAGAGCTGTCTTTTGTTGAGCAGCTACTATGTTCTAAGCAATGTATTGGGTAGACATTTTATATACAATATCTCATCAACCCTCTCAAACCTGTTTGTGGCATGTGCCACAAACTTTGGAGACAAGTCATTTAATCTCCTATCTCCCCCACATCTCTGAGATGTCACACTGCTTACAGGGAAATTCCCAGGACTCCAGTTCAGTTCTCTCTAACAAATGACACTTGTTCTCCATCCACTACCCTGTCCTGCCTCTTCTCCACTAAGAAAACATTGGTGTATATATGGTGTGGATATGCAGGAGTGCTTACCCATTCCCACCTTGGGCAGCTCTCTGAGCTCAAAAACTTATCAGAATGAAACATGAAAGAATTTGAAATTTCTCAACCTGAGGGTAAATCCTGGTATAACAGGAACCATATACTAGGAGGGTTTGGATTCACTGCAATGGGAAGTGTTACCTCTATAAAGATATTGAGCGTTCTTTGAAAATGGTTCAGGAAACAGTTCTTATATTGATTTTACAAAGAGAAATAAAACTACAATATGTTTCTGATACAGAATAGCTTGCTTTCAAATATTTAAATGGCAGATATCTTGCCCAACTCTTAGTTTTTAGTATATTTATATTTACTGCAATAGATAATTATTTAGAGCAAAAATAAATCAATTTGAATATCAGCATAGACTTTAAAAAAAGAGAATTTCTTTCTCACAACTAAATTACCTCAGAGCTAAATCTTTACTCAATGGTGACAAATTGCTTTATGATAGAGTGGTAGTTCTTGTTCTCTCTCTCTCTCTCTCTCTTTCTCTCTCTCTCTCTTTTTTAAAAAATGTTTCCACAGGACAGAGTTTAGGGTATGGATTCGTTAACTATATTGATCCAAAGGATGCAGAGAAAGCCATCAACACTTTAAATGGACTCAGACTCCAGACCAAAACCATAAAGGTAAGAGGTGATATTCTGGCTCCTGATTGGGGAGGGACTGGTTGATTTCATTCCTTTGTTCTAATAAATAAAGGCCATGAGGAAGCTGGAGGTGATGCTCTCTATTTATTCAGAGGACATTTCCTGGGGACACAGATCATTACGGAAGAGTGAGGTGAGGGCTGAGCACAGGGAGGGAACACGAGCGGTGGATGTCGGGGATGAGTACCCCCCATGGAAGGCCTGTGAGCCTGAGTCTGCAGAGATGGCCAGAATTGAGCTATGGGAAGAAGCTGAGATAAGAAGCTGTTCCAGGCAGAGGGAACAGCACATGCAATGCTTTGAAAATGTACATAAATATTGTGAGTGGGAAACAGCATATGGACTAGTGTGGCCTACGTTTGGATGGGGGGTGGGGGAGGACAGGGGCCTCATGTGCCAGGTTGAGCAGCTTGGCTTCACCTAAAGGTAGAGAGGACCCTCCTGAGACTTGAAAAGGAAAAACCAGTTATAAAATAAATACACTAGTGAACTGGTGTACAAAATCGACAGGAACAAAGGAATGACCAAAAAAGGAACATTCCAGGCATCCGAAAATAATCAGACCAGTAAATAATATCTTTGCAAGGGTTAAGGTGAAAAATAACGGTGACCCAGAGCCTGCTCCTCCAGACCAAGGCTTCTGCGGCTGGATTGTCACTCTCAGTTCAGACTTCACCCGATGGAGTTCTTCAGGAGGTAGTGCCATTGGCTTGGAGGCCCCCTCTGACAGCCAGTGGTGAGCTCCTGAATGGAGCCTGCCTCCTCTGCCTCCCTTTCCCGGCCGCCCCACCTAGCATCCTGTTTGGGGGCAGCTGCCAGCCAATTAATGAACCCCATTCTTCATAGCCTATTAAACCAGGGGAGGTGTCTCCTGGGCACTCTTATCCTCACAACAGCAAGCCTGACACAAAGTAGGACAAAAGAGAAACCTCTCCCAGAATGGAAATCTGTAGATGGCACCAGCTCTCTGTCTGAGAACACACAACCAGAACTTCTTAGTTCAACAGAGCTGCTTCTCCCACAGCCAGGCTGACAGGGGAGACTAGTGGTGTAAGAGCATCTTACCATAGCTGGGAGGCAACCAAAACAAAACTTTCTCTTTGGGGAATATGTTATGTTACTGTCTTTCCTTTCCTCCTTCCTTTCTTTTTTCATCCTCCATCCCTCCCTCTCTCTCTCCACTTCCCCCTCCCTCCTTGCTTCCTCCCTCCTTCCTCCCTCCCTCCCC